TAGTCGGGCGTGGTGGTGTGTGCCTGTAGTCCCAGTTAATGGGGAGGCTGAGGCAGGAGGATTACTCGAGCCCAGGAGTTTGAGGTTGCTGTGAGCTAGGCTGATGTCACTGCACTCGAGCCTGGGGGACAGAGTGAGACTCTGACTCAAAAAAAAAAGAGTACACCAAGGACAGCAAGACTTTTCTTTGGCACTAGACCAAGTCAAATTAAGCAGGTTAACCTAAGAGAGTAACTAAAGCCTGCAAGCAAGCTAAGAAAAAGGACTGTGGAGCGTGAAGGTAACTGGTATCTAATGAATTTCCTTAAGGATAATGAAAAAGAAAATTTCAAATGTGAAATTCTACTTCCCAGGTTTGGACTAACAGATCCTCTCATGCTAATGCTATCTGGTTCTGGGAAATTCTAAATCATAAATTCCCCCTGAGCCATTGCATTCTTTGAATGCGTATGCTGAAAGCTGAATGCTCACTGACATGCATTAACATACATAGTTATAATGGCTTCTGTCCTCCTATTTACTATTCCAAAGGTACCAACACTGGGGGAACACAATTCAGGTGATAATTCACGCTTTGCCACTTCAGTAAGTTTTAAGGATATTTAAAATTACATCATCTCCCCTTAATAATTAGAATTTAATCCATGTTATAAACAAAGCCAATCTGCAGAAATACTCAAGTTATTAAGAAAGTTATATGGCCGGGCACGGTGGCTCACGCCCATAATCCCAGCACTTTGGCAGGCTGAGGCAGGAGGATCACTTGAGGCCAGGAGTTCAAGACCAGGCTTGGCAACATAGGCTTGTCTCTACAAAAAATTTTTTAAAAAATTAACTGAGAGTGGTGGTGCACTCCTGTAGTCCCAACTACTTGGGAGGCTGAGGCGGGAGGATCACTTGAATCCAGGAGTTGGAGGCTGCAGTGAGCTATAATCACACCACTGTACTCCAGCACCTGGGTGAACGAGCAAAGAGCAAGACCCTCTTAAAAAAAAAGAAAGTTATGCAAATCGTTAGTAGTAGAAAATACCTATGTCATACAAGTAAAAGTCAAACTAAAGAAAAGTTCAGACAAATCTTTTCTTCCTAATAAAAGCTATGGAGGCCCTGTTAGGTTTCCTAAAAGCTAACTCCTAAATATCATCTTCTTAGTTTCAGTATTTCACCACATATACCGCATTGCTTGCTCCTAAAACATGTGGAACAGTGACCATTCTCCAGCATATTTTATTTACTACATGTAAAGTTTTTTGCCCTTTTTATCTGATAACCTAGATGAAATGGACCAATTCCTTGAAAGACACAACTTGCCGAAAGTCATACAAGAACATAAAGACAGTGTACATAGGCCTATGTATTAAAGAAATTGTATTAAAGAAATTGATTGAATAATAACCTTCTAAAACATAAAGCACAAGGCCCAGATGCGTTCATCAATGAATTCTTCTAAACATTTAAATTAGAAATTATACCAATTCTCTACAATATTTTCAGAAGATAGAATCAGAGGGAATACTTCTCACTCATTCTGTAAGGCCAGCATTACCCTAATTCCAAAACCAGACAAAGACATTACAAGAAAAGAAAACTACAGACCAATATCACTCACACAGTGAAAACCCTCAATAAAATACTAGCAAATTGAATTCAACAATGTATAATAACAATTATACACCACAACCAAATGGGATTTATCTAGTCCCCTAATCTAAGATGGTACATTCCAAAGTCCCCAATGTCCTGTCATTAGCCGTGTAGCTAAAAGCAAGAATACATAGCTCGATATTCCAAAACTATTCAGCCATAATGACAAAATGAATTATGTACAAGCACTTGAAGTTGCCTTCCTAATGCAGAAAGGTATATTTAAGAATCCAGGTTTAAGGCCGGGCGCGGTGGCTCACGCTTGTAATCCTAGCACTCTGGGAGGCCGAGGC